CCCGAGCGCGCCAGCCGCAGAGCCCCTCCCTTCAGCCCTGCCACCGCCGCAGTGGTGGGGTGCCCCCCTCACGCGCCTTCAGAAGTGTGGATCGCCCCCAGCACCCCACCGCTTCCTCGCAGACCCCCAAACCCTGAGTTCGTGATTCTGCTGCAGAACCCTTCCTTGGAAGTTAAGGCCTGAGGCAAAGATGGCAGACCCCTGAGACCCCAAAACTCCCCTAACAGTAACCACAGGCCCCAGCCCTAGAGAGTGGCCGATTGACCTAAAGGAGAACAGGGCTGTGGTCCTTGCCGCGGCGCCTATTTGCATTCAATGCCCAAAGTGTGGATGTCAAATCCTATGAGTGCCCATGTCCGAAAGAGCGGACCGCGAGCACCCAACATCTCCCAAGTCTCTAAGTATGGGTGATGACCAAGGGAACCATAAGCTCTGTGGGACTCTCCAGGTTAGGGGGAACATATAGGATGGCTACTACGGAGCAAAGCAGGCCAAAGTTGCACAAAGTGTGGTTTCCTTCGGGCAACCGCAGCAGTGCGGAACACGTTTCCTCTACAGCAGTGCGACGTGGTTGGCAAGCCGGAGGCCACCGCAGCGCGGATTCCGCGCGCGGCACTGGACCTGCCACACAATCAGGGCAGCAAGACCCCCTTTATGTGCAGCAAATCACAATGCAGAGACACCAAAGGTGCAGGAAAGAGGAAAGGGATTTTCTTTAACCCATAGCCCTTTAAAAGGCATCTATTACACCTTTGAAAAGAGAAGTGTCGAACATCAGAATATCTACATACATTTTCTGGCTATAAATTGAAATTTTGATGGCCGCGATCAGGCTGAGCGTTAACAAGCGAGGCAGCAGCCCAGAGCCGGCCGGTCCAGCGGGGGCGCTGCAGACCTCTGTTCCGCACTGGGCAGAAGCCTTTCCAATACTTCGCGGAGTCTTAGGCCAGCAGTGCAGACAGCACCACTCGGCAAAAGGCTGGCCACAGGGCTAGCCGAAGCTGCCGGTATCTAATCGCACCAGGAGCCTAGGGCCACCCACCAGACTCTGTAGACGCCAGCCTTAGGAACATGTCATCAGAACGTGTGGCGCATAGAGGGTATACCTACCAGGGTCTGATTAAGAGGGGCATGAAACAAATGCTTGTTTAGCACGTAGAGTGCACTAAGAGCCGGGTACAAAATAAATGAGAAAGGGCGCCTGCCCCAGAGAAAGACACTGGCCATCTGGAGGTGGGGGGAGAGATAAGAATTGATGCTTTTAAAAATTTCCTTTTGATTTCCTAGCAACATTTTGTTACAGATCGGCGCCCTCAAAGACCAAACCCAAGTGTTATTCACCTTTTGTATCCCCAGAGCCCGCTGCGGTGCCAGTCACAAAGCAGGCCCCTAACAAATACTGCATGAATAAGTACAAAAATTTGAGGGCGCAAAGGGGAGGAAGTAATTAAGAGGAGGGGGGAAGGGTTGTCTTGAATGATGAATAGACATTTACCGGGAGAGACAAAGAACATTCCAGCCAGAGGGGACTGCATTCGCAAAGCATGGGAGGCTCAGGATGCACAATCATTGGGGAAAAAGGCACGACCTTTGGGCCCCGGGCCCCAACCGACAAAAAATTAGGCTAGAAAGAGTAGTCCATCGGAAAGAGGCTGGAATTTGTCCTAAAGAAAAAGAGAAGCCACAGATGGATTTAAACCCTAAAAGGCCTTAATTGGTTACTTAACAAAATTTAAATGAGTCTCTTTACAAGTTGAGGATTACCTATACTAACTAGCCACTGCCACTTTTTAAAGACTGAATTACTTAGCAAGATTTAAACTGGTCCTTTCAACAAAGTAAGGACATTCCTATTTTAACTATTGGAAACAATAGCAAGAGCCTCTGCATTATATATTTCTCATATTTATCCTCAATGGAACCTTTGAGACCTACAAACAATTCCATACTTTCATTCTCACAGGCCAGAAGCACCAGCATCCAAGATGAAGGCAATTTTCTAATTAATGGACTAAATGCCCCACAAAGGATCCTATTCTGAAGGCCACAGAACATATCTACCCACATGGAACAAGTGTGTAGATTGGGGGAGAAACAGTGTAAGCCCCTAGGGGAAAAAGGAGGGCCAGGGAAAGCTCCCAAAAACTAACAGAAATCCCAAATCTGATGGTGAGGAGAAATCCTCCCCGCACAGAGTGACTAGGAAAAACTTCTTTGGAGAAGGGGAATGGAGATCGATAGCCATGGAGCCCAGAACTTGGTTAAATAGAAAAAGCATTCCAGTTGGGAAAAATCTCTACACAATAACAATGAGTGGGAAAAATGCAGAGCATGCTATGACAGATCAGCTTGGTTAAAGCCGGGAATTTGCCTTCGGAAGTAGAGGGAGAAAATGCTGACCATGATGCCCCAGGAGTCAAAGAGTTAAGGAATCTTCTAATGGTGCCCGACTTAATTCCAGAAGGAAGCTTCTCTGCAGAGGGAGAATCTGGCCCGAGGTATATAACCCTTGGAAAGAAAACAGACCGTACATAAATACTAAGTCAGCCTCTGGCTTGCTCTCAGGGCACCCCTTCAGTTCTTCCAAAGGGATCCTATCTTGACCAACATCACACGCAGCAGTATTTCCTCAGACAACAGCTTATCAGACATTCCTATCACATTCCAACTCTATCACAGTAAGACCTCAGATTTGTGCAAAAATTAGTGTAGAAAGCTCTGCCTTTTCCATCTCATTGATGCACAATAGCGTTAGGAAATCGGCAGGGCTGGTTCCACGGGCTCAATAATCATACTTTTCTAACCTCAATTTTAGACCCGAATTCAAGGATATTTACAAAAACAGCATAGAACTGGGGCTGCCACTTTTAAGAGCAGTAATTATAGATCTGAATAAACTAAAAAGGTGCAAAATGGAAGAAACCTGAACAGCAGCATTTTGTAAAACTTAGGATTTCAGTTAACAAAAAAAGTTTAGTAAATCAATGTGATACCGCTCCAAAAAAACTACTGATTGTAGACTATAGAGAAGTATTCAAAATAAGCTAATCCTACACTGTTCTGCTAGCTAGACCTCACAGAGTATTTTATTCTGTTCTACAGAGCAGATATTAAGACAAACAGACAAACAGCAGTGTTTGTCTAAAAAATCAACTAAAATATACTGCAAATCATGTCATAAAAGGTGTAACAGCTCTCATACTTTAAGCTCCTACTATGAGCATGGATCATCACCCAATTTATCCCTAATCCTCTCGGGAACCCAGCTAAATGAGTATTTTCATTCACACATCTCAGAGAAAGATATAGCAGCTCAGAGCGCTAAGTGTTAGTATGTGAAGGGACTGGGAACGGAATCAGATGTGTCTGGCTCCAGAACTGACGTTCTTTCCACTGCCCCACATTGCCTCCCTGTTTGAAATAACTGGGCATGTTTAGTTTGAAGAAAAGAAGCCTTGTGGAGTGAGTGGAAGAAGGAAATGTGTTAGCAGTCCTCAAATATTTGTGGAAGCAGCATTAGACATTTTACTCTGTATGGCTCCAGTGAGTGCAAACTGTGGAGAAACAGATGTCGATTCAACATACAGAATTTTCCAACAGTCAGGAAGGAGTGTCTAGAGGGATGAGGTGGCTTGGCCATTTTGGGACATGACAAATTCCCTGTCACTAGAGGCTGGGTAACCCTATGGAATGTATGCAAGCTCTGGGTATGTGGCTGAATGACCTTTAAGTTCTTTTCCTTCCTGATAGAAACTAAAGTTCAGAGAAGTGTTGGAACTTGGCCAAGGTGGTCCTTCTAGCCAGGAGACAAGTCTCCCTCAGCCCAGCACTTTTGTACAACCGACTGCTTTCATGCTGAGGGGAAGACAAATTGAATAAATTGCCAATAAAATCACATCATCCTCTCTCTCAAATTTAACCAACATATTCCTAAAGTGACTATTGTCTTTCTCCCTCTTTGGAACCATATGTGGATAACAATCTCTGCAGGAAATCTCCAAAGATAATGGTAGAGGGAAACAATACAGCTGAATAACCCCTGTAACCAGGATCAGATGAACAACAACAACAAAAAAAAAAAAAAAAAAAAGGACGGATACTGTAGTTGTCTCCATATATTACAGAATTACTGGGCACCCCTAAATTATCTTTATACACCCTTTACATTACTTCACACACCCCACAATCCCAGTCCTGGGACTACTACCCCATAATTCCACTTCTGAAGACCATTTTAGCCACTCTAACGGATAAATAGGTTGAAGGATCCTAATAGATAATAGTATCTTACACGTGTACAGCTCTTTGCCCTTTCACATATCTCATCTGCCGCTCACCACAGCCCTCTAAGAAAACCTTCTTTCTGATAGGCAACTTCTTCCTAGGCTACAGCACAGGGCTCCTTCTCGTTTTCCCCCCATTACTTTCCATATTAGATTATTCCTCCTAGCCTGGATGAGTCAACCCACTAGCAGGTGTTTCGGTTTTCCTCAACTGCTCTCGTCATCTCACACCTTCCTCAGCTGTACTGCCCCACCGCCGCCTGGCAGGGCCCCCGCCCACGCCACCAGTGCAGCTCTCCTGCCCTGGGCGCCCCAGCCGGTCCGATGCCGCCGCTGCAGCCGCAGCGCTCGCCCCGGGAAGCCCCCGCGCGCCAGGCTGCCGCGCTCCCCCGCTCCTTCCACCTCCCTCCCTGGCCCCCGCCTCGCCCTCCACCCCTTGGTCACATCAGTGTGCCTGCGACCTCTCCAGACACAAAGGCCGATCCCAAGAGGGAAAGCGCAGCCCCCCAGGGCGCCCGGGAGGGCTGGTCAGACTGCCCAACGGAAAGGGGAAACGCTGGAGGGGAGCCAGGCCTCGGGCGATGGCTGGGGCCCTTTTGTGTTCTGGTCCAGGCCGAGATCTGGGAGACGACGACCGAGGCCCTCGCCCATGTGGCAAGCCTCGTGCGCGCACCCACACACCCCCGGGCACCCTGCGCTCGCCAGATCCTCGCACCCTTAGGCCACTGTCACTCAGCTGGGTCCCAGGACAGGCGTAGTCCATTTGCACCATCCATTTACCCCAAGTGGGGCCAGTCCCACTCTTGGGTGGGCTGCGAGGGGGAGGGTGGAGGTTCCACTCCTTTCCCGCCCGTCTCTTACCTGACTCAGGTAAGACCTGGGCTACAGGACTCCATGTTTGGGGGACCGGGCGCGCATGCGCTCCTTGGGGCCAGAGGTTCTCGGCCTTAACCCAGTCCCCAGGGAAGACTCAGCCAAGCCACCGAATATCAGGCTCCGGGCTAGAGCGTCGCCTCCTCGGCACTCAAGCCCATCGTCCCCGAGCCCAGCATGTGCTGCCGCCTTCTCCCTGCCAGGCGTCAGCGCCACCTATTGCAAAGGGTATGAAATGGCAGGCCATGCCTTGGACAGGGGTCTAATGCGTGGATAAAGGAGAATAGAATTATATAAGGCCTGATCTGAGTACTTTCCGCGTTAGATTATTAAAGCGAAGGCCCAAGAAGCGATATTTTGATAGTTACTAACTAGGGAGAGATCCTGGTGAACCTCCCCTACCTCACCCATTACACTAATTTCATAGTTACCTCAAGACTATCATTTATTTTTTAATCCCCAGCCCTACCCTCTTCCCCCACACTATAGATCGGAATTATTTGCCTGCCTTCTCTTTATCTTCACATGACAACACACAAACTTTCATAACTCGACAATGGCTAGGTAAAATTCACCACCTTTTCTCCACCTGCTCTTTGCCACACCACAAACTGACCCCTGTCTCCAGAATCTTTGCTTCCTTCAGTATTCTCTGTCTTGACTAATGGCACTACCATCCACTCAAGTTTCCCACACAAGATCGCCAGAACTCAGGGCATGATGGAATGAGACCCAGAGTTCAGGCTGTCAGTGATTTCAATCTTCCTGGTCCTTTTCATCTGACCTCCCAAGTCTCTCTTGAACTCCTCTTGCTGCCCTCCAATTCTACTGCCATCTGCACTTCTTCAAGCCTCTTTATCTCTCATCTGGACTGTTGCTTCCTGATTGGCTCTCCACCATGACACCTTTCTAGTTCATCATTCACACTCTGGGCAGTGATTTTTCCAAAATGCAAACCTGAGCACACCTCTTTTCTAAAACTTTCTACTGACTTTAAATTCAACCTTTTTATCTTGATATGCAAAACACTTCAAAATCTGGCCCTTGCCTTCCTCCAGAATCTTCTCTTTCATTCCTTCCATCTTGTCCATCCCCCAAAACTTCATAATTTGACTTCATGTTACTAATTCTAGTTCCTCCCAAAACACCATCCAGTTTTCTTTCTCCACATTTTCATGCCCTTTTCCCTGACCAAATATCCTTCCCTGCTTTGGCTACCTAAAAAATTCCTAATGTTCTCTTACATGACTTCCAGGAAATCTTCTACAGAAAGAACATCTCCTTCCCTGTGCACTTTGTCCCTTGGACACACTTACACAGTTGCACTTATGCTGTTTTACAGTGATGTTTGCAGGTCTACCTTGTCTCTTCTACCATATGACTGAGCTCCTTGAGAAAAGGGACAGTGTCATTGATTTCTGTGTCCCTTTTCTCAACCTAACATTTTATCATGGTGAGAAGAATGAACAGCAAATGTTTGTTGATCACTTGATGCCAGACACTGCACCCAACTCCTCGTGTATATTAGTTACTTCTGGTGATTACCGTACAAAAGAAGAACTGTTATTATACTAATTTTGCCAACAAGACAGCTGAAAAGGCTTTGGCAGATTAAGGAGCTTAGCCAAGATTGTAGGGCTTGTAAATTGTGGAGTCAGGATATGAATCCAGATCTATCGCCTCATGTTTATCCATTTATTGAAAAGTATGGTAGAATTAAAATGATATTTGAAAAATCACAGATCATTTCTTGAAAGTATAAATGCTTACAGAATTAATTTATCTTTTAAGGGGAAAGCACATAGCTATTTTAGTCTAGTAGATGGAAATAAAGTGTTCTAATTTAAACTAATGGCATATAAAGCCAAATAAATATTCTTGATGTCAGGCTAAATGAAAAGACAATCCTTTTATTATTCTATATCATGTCCTTATTATATAAATGTTATGAGTATGTTTGCTAAGGGACTGATGTATTGTAAACCAATACTTTTTTTTTTTTTTTTTTACAAAAAGCTTCTGGAGGGGCTGGAGTTGTGGTACAGTGCTTGCCTGGCATGTGTGAGCCCTGAGTTCAATCCTCAGCACTGCATACAAATAAATAAATTAAATTAAAAAAAATTTAAGCTTCTGGAGAAGTGGGACAAGAGGAATCTAAGTTGAAAATCAATATAGACTTTTCAAGAAGTTGCCAGAGATGGCAATATCAAGATATTGTGAAGGATATGTGAAATCTAGATGATTTAACATATGTAAAACACTCAATAGAGTGCCCAGCACATAGGAAGCCCTCTATTATCACTCTTACTGGTGTTGTTAAGAACTTCAACTAGTTTCCAGTTCAGAGTAGAGATAAACATCTAGCTGACAACAAGCAATGTGAAAAGTGATATAATGCATCCATGATGGAAATTCTGTGGGAATTTCAAAGAGATGAGGATCTGTCAGGGAATCAGAAGAATGGTAGGGAAACAAGATGGTAGGCAGAGATCCCGTGATTGAAGAATAAGCAAGTTGCTAGAACCAGAGAAATACTATCTAGCTTTTGCAAAAATATTTGTTAGCAAAATATTGTACTACAAGAGGCTCAGTTTCTTAGAAGCCATCAGGTTTAAAATGCCCACACCATTCCAAGCATTCCTTTGTGCCTGACAGGCAGGAGGCTTGGCCACTGGGCTAAGGAGAAAGACTTTCACCAAGATGATATGAGAGATGGAAGAGGCACATAAGCTTATGGTGGTATATCTCAGTACCCAAAGAAAGTTCCAGCCCCACCGGTAGTCTAAATGGGAAAATTAGACTCCATGAAGGGAGAGTACATTCCCATCCCCCAGGCTCCAGTACCTCCCTAGAGAGGAGAAACAGTTGAGCACAGACATGGTGATGTGTACATTAAGCAAGAGGAAAGGGGTAGGCCTTGGAGGCTGTGGTCCAACTTGGCGAGCGCGGCCCAAGAAGGCCCACCTCTTTCCTTCAAACCCATGCCAGGTGTCTAGCACACTAATCCAGTGTTTCCCCAGCCAAACGACATGGAAGGCTGCTTAAAAGTCTACATTCTTTACCACAGGCCATTAACTTTATGTAGGCAAAACATATTTATGTTCCTGTAGTTCTTCAATAAACAGAGTAAAGAAACTTACTGTGGGTAATTCACTCTGGCCCAGGGAAAAGAGGGCAGCTATTCTGATGGGAATAACTAATGAGACACATAAGGGGAAAAAAGTTCAAAATTAAACAGAGGAACACTGTTGGTAGAATTCAATAGATACAACTTTTTTGGAGGGTGTTTTGGCAGTGGTTATCAAAACTGACCCAGCAATCCCACTTTGCAAATTATCCCATGTGTATACTCCCTGACATGTGTCCAAGGATGAACAATGCTGCAGTATTTGGAATTTTTTTTTCTAAACTAGAAATAACCTTAATGTCCATCTATAGGATACAATTTATGATCCAGTATTTAATACAAAGTAATCTAATATGGAAAGCTTCTCAATGTTACATGAAAAAGCTAAGTTTAAAACTGTATGTATGGGCTGGGGTTGTGGCACAGTGGTAGAGCGCTTGCCTAGCATGTGTGAGGCACTGGGTTCGATCGACTGCACCAAATAAAAATAAATAAAATAAACGTCCATCAACAACTAAAAAAAAAAAAAAATTAAACTATGTATATTGCAATCCTGCTTGTGTAAAAACATGTATGTACCATGTTATCTAATATCTGTGTCTATGTATATATATATATATATTTGAAATGCCTGGAAAGACCTAGAAGTAGAAAATTGACAGTCCAGGAAGAAATGTCTGCAGGAAGATTTGTTTTATAGGTTGGTTGGTTTTAGATTTAAATTTAAATACCTTAAGGAGGAGCCACCTTGCAGTCCCTATTCCTCCCTATTATCTTATACCCCCTTCTTCCCTCAGTTGTTATTTGGTCTCTAAATTCACAGGAGAAGAGAAATGAGGGTGTGAAGGCAAGTGAAAGTGTGCTTCTTAGTCTTTACTTTCCATTTCTATTCTGCAAGCAAACATGACTTTTGTACCTTTAGGGAGTGTGGGGCAGGAGACTGCCATCTTTGCCCGTCAAGGAGATTTGGTACTGGAGGAGAATGAAGATCCTGAAAAAGAGGTACTGGTTTAGAAGCTATTGCGATAGCCCAGATAAGGAGCAAAGAGTATCTGAACTAGCTGGAAAGCAAAGATAAATTGTGAACCCTAGATTTGAAACCTTTAAAATTCTTTCTCAGCTGCTGTAATTAAAAGAATGTCTGGGCTCGCTGTCCCTTCCTTCTACCCCCTGGAAATTATATCCTGTAGTTTATCATCTGAGTCATTGGGCAGCTCCCCGGTGCACTGTGGGAGGCCCACTCTGTCTGATCCTAGTCATCCCTGAGACTACCCTCCCAGGAGTGCTCCTGCCTGGGAGTTCATTCCTCCCTCTTTGCTCTGTGTGCACCAGCTGTATAGGAAGTGGGCATTGTCAGCACCCAAGGTTTGGTTGAAATCAAAGGGGAATGATCCTGAGTCAAGGTCTGCTCATGTTGTCTGGAAAAAAAGAACCAGTGGTTCCACAGTTAACTTCAAGATAATGAAGAAAAAACAACAACAACAACAAAAACTCTACAGTCTGCAAAGAATGACCTTAACTTTATTCTTTTTAAAATTTTTATTTTTTAGTTGCAGTTGGACACAATACCTTTCTTTTATTTATTTTTATGTGGTGCTAAGGATCGAACCCAGGTCCTTGAACATGCTAGGCAAGCACTCTACCACTGAGCTACAACCTCAGCCCCTACCCTAACTTTAAACTAAAACAAAAAAACACTTCCAAATAAAACATCCTCTCGTGTGGGGGGTAGCAGCTAAAAGACTGGTGAGATCCATACTAGGCATTTCATCCACTGAAAATTCTTCAGTTGAGGGGCTGGAGTTGTGGCTTAGTGGTAGCGCACTTTCCTGGCATGTATAAGGCCTTGGGTTCGAGCCTCAGCACCGCATGTAAATAGGTAAATAAATAAATAAATATCCATTTACAACTAAAAAATATTTAAAAAAGAAAATTCTTCAGTCGAATTATATTATTTATTTGAAAAGATTTCACTGAACGGAAGTTGGTATGTCAGAGACTTTCTCATCTGTGGTCTGAACAGTGGGGAATTTAACATGGCACCAAACAGGAAAGACTGAAACATGAAGAAAGCCAGACCCAGGATT